AAGGGAGGGGGAGAGAGAAAGAGAGATTGACTTGTTCTTCCACTCATTTATGTACCCACTGGTTGATTCTTGTATGTGTCTTGATCAGGGATTGAACCCAGAACCTTGGCATATCAGAATGATGCTCTATCCAAATGAGCTACCTGGCCACGGCCCCAACCTGTTGATTTTAATATTAATTTCAGTGGCAATAAATATAATTGTGGCTAACATATAATAAGCAAATATGTGCCAAACTGTGCTAAGAATCCATATGCATTATCTCATGTAATCTTTATAATTGTTTGATGATGTGGGTATCATTATAATTTCCATTTTGGTAAAAAAGGAACCTGAGGCTTAGAGAATGAAGTAATTTTCCCAGGTGGTAAGTGATGGAGCTGTTATTTGAGCCCAGCAAGGTCAACCTTACTGCAAGCTGTAATTGATAACAGAGGTGTAATCTGTACAAATTTGAGATTGAAGGGTGCCTTCTGAGCACAGCATTACAGAAACTGGAGTGGAAAGGGGGAGATGGGAAGAAAGAGAAGAGCAGAGGGAAAACCCCAGGACCCATACCACAGTGTCTGCCCCTTACCAGATAGCCTCCAGGTCATGCAGAGGATCAGCAGGATGATGCAACCCACCATCAGGATGGAGATGCCCGTGATGAAACCATACACCCACAGGGGTATGTACTCTGTGGCAAGCAGGACAGCATGAGTGATGTGGCAGGGAGGTCTGTTATGCCAACCCTGAGGTCCTCCAGCCCCTAAGCTGGCCTCTCCGGCCTGCACCATGACATACTGGTGATCTCACCCACCCCTGGGCAACTTTGAAAGCCTGGCCCGGCACCAGGTTCAGTCAGGAACTTCTCATATGGCCCCTGAGGAATGTCCCCTTGGGTCTCCTGCAGCACACTATGGGGAGGATCAGTGGCCTTACCTGCAATCGGGTCTGCTATGAGAACAAAGGAAAATAATATTTCAATTATTAACAGTAATCACAAAACCATTACTGACATTCACTGAGGACCTGCTAATAGCCATGGCCCTATACCAACCACTTTATTTATTTATTTATCCTCACCCAAGAATATTTTTCCATTGATTCTTAGAGGGAGTGGAAGCGAGGGGGAAAGGCAGAGAGAAACAGATGTGTGAGAGAGACACATCGATTGGTGGCCTTCCACGTGAGCCCTGACCAGGGCCAGGGATCAAGCCTGCAACCAAGGTACATGCCCTTGACCAGAACTGAACCCAGGACCTTTCAGTCCATAGGACTCTACCCTGAGCCAAACTCACCCAAGAATATTTTTCCATTGATTCTTAGAGGGAGTGGAAGCGAGGGGGAAAGGCAGAGAGAAACATTGATGTGAGAGAGACACATCGATTGGTGGCCTTCCACGTGAGCCCTGACCAGGGCCAGGGATCAAGCCTGCAACCAAGGTACATGCCCTTGACCAGAACTGAACCCAGGACCTTTCAGTCCATAGGACTCTACCCACTGAGCCAAACTGGCTAGGGCTCAACCACTTTAGATACAGGTTAAACTTGATGAAACCATTTAAACAAAACACCTGAGTTTCTAGGCTACCAAGTAATGCCCCTCCCTTCACTTGGCAGACTGGGGTTTATGTCGAAACCAGTGCAATGCCTGTTGCTTTCTGCTCAGTTTTGACTATAGCCACAAGTTAGGCTTCTGAACAGCCTCTGCCACTTCCTTGGTGTATGATCTTGGACAAGTTACACATCTCTGGGTCTCAGTTTCTTCATCTATGAACCTGGGGGCAGGAGTTTCTACTTCTTGGTTCACAATTTATGAAGATTTTGTTCTGTACATGGACTATAACTGTAACTCTATGACAGTAACAATCCCATTTTTTTCAATCACAAAAGTTGAGGATCAGAAAGATTAAGTACTGTACTTTACCCAAGTCTACACAGCTAATACAATCAGCAGTCCAACCCAGGAGTGTCTCTCTAAAGCCCTGCATCACAGGCCTGAATAACTCCAAGTTAAACTCTGCCCTCACCCTTAGGACCAGGTAAGGGTTCAGCTCAAGTTGTTGACCTTCATTGATTCTCACCCCAATTGTGTTCCAAGATAGACATCTGCTTCCTACCTGGAATTTCTGGACAGGAAACATTCACGGAGTGTCTACGGCAGTCATTCAGACAGCTGCTAAAGAAGGGCTGGATCTGTGAGACCAGAGAAGGGCAGGGAAGACAGGGACTGGGAGACACAGGACCCCCATCAATGCTTTCCTGACAGAAGAGTAATGGACCCTGGCTGATTGCTTCAGTATCTCAGTGTGGCGGTTAGGTGATCATCCATCCATCATCAAGAGGAGCCCTGCCCAGGTGAGGCTGGGAGAGAAGGGCTTCCAGGCAGGGAGTCCCAGATGGTAGTGGCGTTGGGTCCTCAGAGAGAGCACCAGTCACAAACTGCCCTCCTCCCCTCCCTCATCCCTCTAGAAGGAATGCCCACCTGTGCATGCTCTCTGTTATATCACACTCACCCACCTGCACTCGGTGGTGGCAGCACCAATTAAAGTTTGGTAGAGTGAGCGTGACATTGGATCGCTGGTGGGAGTCCTCTCGTGTGGGCTGAAGAGAGGGGAGAGGATAGGTGAGGCTAGCTGGATGAGAGCTGGCCACAGTGCTGCAGGAATTGATGACAACATTCCCCACTACTATCAGTGTGCCTCACAAAGGCCACAAGAGAAATGCCTTCAGGTTTCTGCTCCAGGAAAACGATGTTTCCCTAGTGCATCGGGCCTGTTATTAACTTATGAACACAGCTGGTGACCAGTATTTCCCTCTTTGCATTGGCTGCTAAGGACCATGGAGACAGATCTGTGCTCATCCCCAGCAGCGTTGCATACATTTTCTGTACTCATCTCACCCTAGCTCCATCTTACTTGCCTCATTTTTATTTCCCCTTGTCTTCATTTTCACATTTTAAAAATCTTCCAATCTTTTTGAAATAAGTAGAATAAACAAAGTGGAACAAAAAGAGAACAGCGGAGAATGTGGGAGGGAAGGACAAAAAGGATGAAATGGTGAGCAGGGCTAACTACAGATATTGAGAGCAAAAGGAAACCTCAACCACAGAATCAACTACTAGTATGTATCAACTGCATACCAAAGGGCACAGCACTGAGCGCTAGATTTCTGGCAATAGTTTTGTCAGGACCAATAAGGGGATGCTGAAGACTTGGAGAGGTGGCTCTGAGCTATGTTTGAGGGGTTAAGAGTGGCAGGCTTACCGCAGGTATATCCAATATGTGTTTGAAACATCTCTGATTCTCTGTGCGTGGGATTTTCAGCAGGATCTGGTAATGGGTAGTTTCATCCCACAGAGTGAAGCTCACCCGCAGCCGGTAGGCTTCCAAGGTCTCCACAGTGATGTTGGGATCCCACAGGCTGCCTGCCCAGGGCACAGACATAGGCTGGGAGTGAGGAGAAGGCATGTATGTGTACCCAAATAAAGCTCCCCTAGTATGCCAGCCAAAGTTACCTGAACTCACACAGGGCCTGGTTATCTTCATCCTGGGGTCCTCACAGTCTGCAGACCCAGAAAAAAAATGACACCATTAAGTCTCTGCCTTATAAAGTTTGCTCTTCTTCCAGAATGCTGATACCAAAGATAACATCCTTTTCCTTCTGCGGAGCCTATTCAAGGATGGCCCCTTCAAAGCAAGCTCTAGGACTGGACTGTGGCCATTGACCAGAGTCCCCAGAGCACTGGGGCTGACCTGGTTATCTCATCCTTCCTCTATCAGGGAACTATCTAGTTTCAAGTGTATTTCTCCTGAGCTTGCTTCATTTATTTATGTATTTATTTATTTTTGTGAGCTTGCTTTAGATAACCATCTCTCCATACTGCAGCTTCCTCTCTAGAGTTGCCTCTGCCTTTTTACGAGGGGAGAACTTTGTTCTTTGTTCCTCCATGGCAGTGTTTCTTGAACTTCCATGTGCGCAATCATCAGTAGTTTCTGATTCAGCAGGTCTGGAATGGGTCCTGAGAATCTGCATTCAATGACATTGTTGGTTCTGGGACTACCTTAAGGACCACTGCTCCACAGATACCTTCTTGATCTCCTTCACCAATTTCCTTGACTGTAATTTTACCTTTTTTTGTTTTTTTAATATATTTTTATTAATTTCAGAGAGGAAGGGAGAGGGGGAGAGAGAAACATCAATGAGAGAGAATCATTGATCGGCTGCCTCCTGCATCCCCTAGACTGGGAATCGAGCCCACAACCCAGGAATGTGCCCTGACCTGGAATCAAACCATGACTTCCTGGTTCACAGGTAAAGACTCAACCACTGAGCCATGTCAGCCAGGCTTTACTTTGGTTTAAGAAGACACGTGACAGGTATGAATTACCATGGAGTGACAGAGACTGAGTCAGTTTACTTTAAGGACAAGGGAGGGGACTGGGGGACATTCATTCATTCAACAAATACTTATGGATCTCTCAATATGTGCAAGGCACCATTTAAAAAACTGGTAAATAAGACAAAGTCCCTGTCCTCCAAAAATTACATTCCAGTAAAAGAGAACAATAAAAACAAACAATAATGTCACAAATATATTATGAAATGTCAGGGAGTGATGAGTAAGAAAAAGGAAAATAAAGTAGGGTATGTGGATAGTGAGTGTGTGTGTGTGTGTGTGTGTGTGTGTGTGTGGAATCGCTCCACAGATGAAGGTCATCATCATTCTAAGAAGCATTTCCTGATCACCTACTAAATGCAAGCCAATTTGTGAGGTTCTAGTGACTACACAAACGAGTATGAGACCCAGACCCTGCCTTCAGAGAGGCTGGCATTCCAGATATAGTTGGTTTTGAACAATAAAAAGTTTTGTAAGTAGTGGCTGAGATTCTGGGGAGGGCAGAAAAATAGAAGGTGCACATTGAATGCTGCTTTAGTAGATAAACCTGCCAGTATTCATAGGCAGAATGGATTAGTGGGGGAGATGGTATCCTACATTGGGTGGTGTTAGATAAATGCAGGCAGGATGTGGGGTAAAAGTGAAGAACAAGGTGATGGAAGCTGGGACGAGGCTGGGGTAAGGATTACAACACTTCCAAAAGTGGCTTGTCCTCCTGATACTTTCTGGGTAGGAGCATGCTTCTCTAGAGAGGAAGGAACTCCAGTTCCCATAAAACTCCTGGGGTCTTGGGCCAATATCCACTGTTTGTGCCAACAGAGAACGGGCTCTGCCTTCAGGGAATAGAGGTTGAGGCCACATACAGAAGGGCTCCCTATCCCTGGCATCTGTTTGTTCTGTGGGTACCACATGCTGACAATGGCAGCCATTGTCCAGCTGAGCAGGGTGGCTGATGTCTGGGCTACTTGTTGGTTTTTTCTGCAGAGCCATGTGGTGAAGGGAAGGGCTTGGTATGGCACTCTTACCTGGCACAGGAAAGTTCCTGGATTGGTGGTTTGGGTCCCCATCAGGGATGGGCTTGGGCAGGTGGTGAATGGTCACTTCATATTCCTGGCCAGGTTCTACCACAAAGTGGCTAAAGGTAAAATGCCACTGAAGAGAAGGGAGGAAGGGAAGGTTGGACAGGTCACACACCATACCTCCTACACAGCTATGCCCAAAGAACCCCACCCTACCCACTCCCAAAAGATCAGTCAAAAAATAAGAAATAACCATCACAACAAGATCCAAAATCAGAGGTTTCTGTATCTTTGCTCTTTGTTTCCTCTAGTCTTTCCTTCCTATTTCAAAAAACCTAGACCTGGCCTCATCAATAGCTGGCACACAAGAGGCAGCTAAAAACTATTTGTTAAGTGACTCTTCTTCCTTAAATGGGAAAGCCAGGGATCTCTTAAGATTGTTCCAGAGCATGAAAGTGCAGAGGGAGGGATAGAAAAAGCCCTAGTCATCCTGGGCCTGCAGGCACATTTGTTGCAGAGATGACAGAATGTGAGTGGAGAGATTTTCTGGAGGGTGCAGATAACAGATACTGACTTTAACCTCCATTCTAATTACCCTGGTGGGATCCTTTGCTTTAAGTATCTAGGCACCTGGTCCTCACCATGCACTCAAGTTTGAGGGCTAATGAAACATGGGAGAGGAAAATGTGTTTGTGGGAAATCTGCAAATGGCCACTTTTTGCAGATGTAAACAAGCAGTTTTCAAACTGAAGCTTGCATCAGAATCACTTGGTGGGCTTGTTGAAGGATTGCCACCTGAATTTCTGATTCAGCAGGTCTAGGGTAGGGCTCTAGAATCTGCATTTCTGACAAGCCCAGGTCATGCTGATGTGCTGTTCTGGAACCACATTTTGAAAACAACCGCTTTAAACAAACTAAATAAGAATCAACATTTTACCATCTGGCCATGAACAGCAATGTGAGCTGAAATTGTACAGAACTCATTTGCTTGTGCCCTGCCCACTGCAGTTTTCTGGTCTTGGCAAAGTTGTTCTTTTCCAAAGGCAGTGTCCAGATTAATCTCAGTTACAAATAAAGGTGGCAGGAAGCAGGGCAGGGGAAGGCATCTCCTCATTCAACTTACTTTACAATGATTGGCTAGGGAAGGTTGAAAGGAAAAGCAAGGGGTTGGCATGTCTGGGAAGTTTTCAAAAACATGTTCTGCTCCTCGTGATCATCAGAGGAACATAATCCATCCAGGAGCTTGATTCTTACCCGCTTGTCATGATGCTGCAGTTTAGAGAGAAACTCAAACTTGACACACAAACGCTCATTGGTGTTCAGCTGCAGGACAGATAGCTCTGCACCCTCCAGGTAGAGGATGCTGGCTGAAGACCAAAGGGAGGAGAGGAGACACAGATTCAGATGAATAAGACAAACCACTGGGTGTGTCACTTCCCTGTTGGTTAGGCTTGCTCACTCTTGAAAGAAAATCTGCCCATCTTACCCAACCCTGTACTTCCTGTTCCTCCCAGCTCATTCTTGGGTCTAAGTTAGCCTCCTGCCCTGCAGATAGTTACTTCCCAGCTACACAGGGACAAGCAACACTTTATACTGGTCTAAAAGCAAAGGCTTTGCAAGTTTGTGGCTAAGGCGTTGGCAACAGGGCTTGGTGTTTAATATGGCCACCCACCATCCTTGAAGCTGCTGCAACCGCAGCAGTGGCTGGGGACTTACAAAAAGAACTCCTCCAGACCTTGTTCACAAATCTAGGGCTGGCTCTTGTTAACCTCAATTTTCTCAATTCTGTAACACAACTCTCTATCCCTAAGAGTTTTTTGGGGGGTGTCATTTGAAGAAATGGTAACCTCTAAAGTAAGGGAAAAAGCAGGCTGACAAATGTGTTAACCATTAAATATTTGGTACCGTGGTCACAGAATTACCATGTGACTTTTTTTCTGGAGTGATAAAGATTTTAGGCTGAAGGAAGATCTTTCATAAAGGATAGTAGGATGAGACTATATTGTGGACCAATATCTAAAACACTGAAAAAGTATTCACTGTATGAAATGATGGATCCTTTCAGCACTAATTTGGTCCCTCATGTCTGTGCACAGGACTGGAAACCTAATTCTGAGTCTGATGAGAGAGTCAGAAGGTCTAGTCTGTGGATTCACTTGGAGGTGGGCAGAATCCCTCAGGTCTCACTGGCATGGCCACTCACCATCTGTCTGCAGTGTCCATTCAATATGAACCACAGGGACAGTATCTCCATGCTGGGTGTGGGCAAAGTGCAGCTGAACCTGGACATCTTTTGGGGATGAGGGGGTCAATTTTTGAGGCTGGATCCAGCTGTCATCCAGGCAGGTACCTGGAAGCCAGGAAAAACAGAAATCAGAGACTTGCATGCTCTGCAAGACACTACAAGAAACTAAAGCATGCAAGCTAGATACCCAACAGTACATCCAGAGAGCCGGACCTTAAACATCTGGGGTGGGGGGTTCTCAGCTTTCCCATACTGTCCCCTCTTTTCTTGTGTTTGTCCCGGGTCACTGTAAAGCTTTGAAATCTCAAAGGTATATCAAGAGAGAACACAGCGGAAACCGGTTTGGCTCAGTGGATAGAGCGTCGGCCTGAGGACTGAGGGGTCCCAGGTTCGATTCCGGTCAAGGGCATATACCTCAGTTGCGGGCACATCCCCAGTGGGAGATGTGCAGGAGGCAGCTGATCGATGTTTCTCTCTCATTGATGTTTCTAACTCTCTATCTCTCTCCCTTCCTCTCTGTAAAAAAATCAATAAAATATATTTTTTAAAAAAGAGAGAACACAAAGTACACAAGTTGGTTTTGAAATGAAATAGTGGTTGGAAATGGGGACAGAGGAAGGATGGGGTAATGAAAAGAGTTGTTTTATTTTTATGTGCCAGGGTCCCTAATTAGCACAGACACTTAAAATATGTGCCTTCTTGAATTAAAACAAAATCAACCATAGTTGTCTCTCATGTTACAGTGACGAGTTCTAGCAAATCAAGCTGAATTACTGACACACCACGGCAGCACCTTAAGGATAATCTCAAAATCCAAAGGGCAGTTTAGCTTCTCACTTCCTGACTTTGGATAATGAATATTCTTTTTTTAGGTGTTTTTTAAATATTTTTATTGATTTCAGAGAGGAAGGAAGAGGGAAAGGGAGAGATAGAAACATCAATGATGAGAATCATTGATCAGCTCCCTCCAGCTTGCCCCCTATGGGGATTGAGCCCACAACCTGGGCATGTGCCCTTGACTGGAATCGAACCTGGGACCCTTCAGTCCGCAGGCCAACAGTCTATCCACAAAGCCAAAGCAGCTAGACTTGAATATTAATTTTTTAAAAAGCATTATTATTGATTTTTAGAGAGAGGGAGGGAGAGACAGAGACAGAGAGAAACATAAATGTGAGAGTGAAACATCAATCAGCAGCCTCCTGTACGCACCCACGCACCACACCGGGATCAAGCCCACAACCTGGGTGTGTGCCCTGGCAGGAATCAAACCAGCAACCCTTCAGTGAGCTGGATGAGGACCAACCAACTGAGCCACACCAGTCAGGGCATGGATGATGAATATTCTTGATAAGAAGTGCAGGTGTGCGCATTAAAGGCTCTCAAGGGTACCTCCTGCTGGAAGGTGCAGCCCTCATCCCAGACTGGAAGAGGAAGGGCAGCGCTTTTGTCAGCGATCAGCATGAGGTTAGCACTTTATCAAAGCAACAAGAACAACAACAACAAAAAAGATGACTTACTATTCTTGACTGTGCAGTTTAGCCCCTGTGGGAAAAAAAGAAGGTCATTACAGCTGGAAAAGAACTTTAATTCGCAAGCTGGGCTCCAGAAACTTTTTTCTTTTGGCTCATTCTGGCCCTGCTTTCTCACTTTTGGGGGCCAGCGTGGGAAGGGGGATATTATCCTCACACTTTCAAATCATGATGAGAAATAGGATGAGAAGTGGGGATAGTGGGTAACAAAACAGAACTGCTGTTTCCTGAGTAACTCTTATGAGCTGGGAACCTTCCAACTTCATTTATTTATGTTTAAAATATATTTTTATTGATTTCAGAGAGGAAGGGAGAGGGAGAAATAGAAACATGAATGATGAAAAAGAAATCATTGATCTGCCTCCTGCATACCCCCTACAGAGAATCGAGCCTGCAACCTCGGTATATGCCCCAACTGGGAATCAAAACATGACCTCCTGGGAGAACCGAAGATGGCGGCATAGGTTAACACCAGAGATTGCCGCCTGGAACAACCAAGTCAAATTAAGCTTGATCCAGGGAAAGGACAACGTCCAGAGCCACAGGAGGGCTGGCTGAGTGGAAATTCTACAACTAGGAGTAAAGAGAATATTATATCAGACTCAGAGGCGGCGCAGTGCTGAAGTGAAATTCTGAGGTAACGAGGGCGCGCGGAGCGGGGCTGGAGGCGGCGCGGACGGCGGCTCGGAGGGAGCGGGGCAAACAATCGGGAGGGAGGCCCAGACTCTGAG